AAACAAGAATTGTCCAAACACGAAATATGACACCCTATTCAAGGAAAAACAATAACCAAACAACGGCTAACCACGCGCGGCAAAACACAAATCTCGATAAAATCGCTTTGTTGACAATTTTAGCGGAATTTTCTTTTTGTTTAGCTGGCCATTTACACACTGCAATTTTAGCCGATACAATTTACATATTCTATCTAAAGATCACAACGGAAACACAATGCTAACAGAGGCAAAACGATAACCGCCAAAACCATACCCTATCCCGCGGCACAAACATGTATATGGGAGTACCCCCACCTCTGGGTATTTAAAGTGGATATTGTTCTGCAATGTCCTCCATCAGGTGAAGCTCACCATGCCATCTTCTCCACATGAATTCCTTAAGGTATTCTTGTAGGAAGTTAGGATTTGTGTGATGAAATACAATGTATACGAGGCATCGAGGTGAATCTCTTTATGGGCACATTTCTTGATGACACATTAATTGTTAACATTTTCAAGGTAAAATGCGCACAGTTTTTGGCATTTTGGCTCTAATCTGGCTACAGGTTTTGCCGAAGATTTTGGGAATAATTCGGATGGCGCTGTTTTTCTGTTGAAGTCACTACGGTGAGATCGACTTGCTGGGATGGAAGAGAAGAGAATAAAACGTGCTATAGCCATTCGCGAGAAGAAGATAAGGTGCAAATAAGCTTACATTTGTTCAATTGATCTTCAAAGGATAGTGACTAAAACACCACACGAGCACTACGAGTAACATACAAGTACATACGAGTAATTACGAGTCATACGGGCGCACACAGATACATATGAGTAACATGAAAGTAACATAGAATACATGGAGTAACACACAGATAACATACGGCCAAATGTGGGTAATACGCATGAAATCTGCAAAGTAAAATACAAGAAATTGGACCTTTAACGGAAATCGTCGATTTGTTTTTCACTGCTCGGTATGGAGAGAAATTAGCATTTGAGGGTGTGTGTGTCTGCGTGTGTGATGGGGGTGGGGGGGCTGGGAAGAGACCTTCCTTAATGCTTCCTGTGAGCCTATTACTGCATAAAATAGCAATAACAAAATTAATAATAAATTCAAATACTATTCAATCCTGTAGGCTGAACAACAACGCTGATTTCCTACGGTTACCACCCTCCCGAGGTAATACCCGGGAGAAGATCGGCCCTTGTGACCCTAGGGTGGAAAATGTTTGAAGTTTTCAGTTTTTCCCGTGGGTAGGGGGTTGGGCAACTTCAAATAACTACCCACACAAAGACTCCTGGGGCGAAACGAGATATGTATTATTTTATTATTTTTTTATAATTATTTCATTATTTCTCATTTCTTTTATTTTCATTGTATTTCTTATTATTAATTTATGTTATTTCCATTTTATGCAGCAATAAGCTTACACGAAGCACACGCAAACACACCCTCAAATGCTAATTTCTCCCCACACTACCCCGTTTTGTACATATGATATCGTTTGCACATTTATCGCGATTGACTACCTAATTTACCCCGACCTGCTCTCGTGCTGGTCTCGTAGCTCAGTCGGTAGATCTAATTCGGAGGTCGTGGCTTCAATCCCCACTTGGTCAAATTTTCTTTGCCCCGTGAGGACTCCCAAATTTCCCTTAAAAGGGTAGTAACCCAGGGGGATTTATTGTATCGGCAGTATTGCCTTCTTCCAGCACCCAAATATTTATTTAAAAAAAATTATAATTTATATTACGGGTGCTTCGCGGTTCACATTCTATATCTATATCATTTGAACCAATGAATACACCGAGCAGTAAAAAAAAATCGAAGGTTTCCGAGAAAGGTCCAATTTCTCACATTTTACTTTGTTTTTACAAATCAAAGGAAAGAAAGTCAATTAAGCTTTCGCTAAAATGCATGCGATCAAAAACCATTTCCCATTTGAGTTTTGGAATGTAATTTTTTTTTTGATGACAAACTGTAGTTACCAGTATACATCTTGTATTACGGAGGACAGAAAGGAAATTAACCAATGTTTTTTAAAACACTTGCACACAGCCATTGTTTTGCTCCATTTTGTCGGACAAATATCTCGAAACAGTTGTATCCCTATAAAGTGGATTTACAAAGCTACGGAACCTAATACGATCTACATTTTCAACCGTCACCACCATTTAGTACACCAGTGTTGAAGACTACATCATCGGAAAATGAAATTTCCTTACTCGCGGTCCAATGGGAACAAACAGTGTTAGAATTGTTTTGACGTTTACTAAAAACACGCGCTTGATATAGAATGAAATAGAAATCAAAACTTTATGAGTGCGGCTGAAAGTATTGCGAGTTCACTCTACCGACGTCCCGTTTGCCGTCATGTCTCAAACTGGAGGTTTTTAACCCTTTAAATAGTCGAATTGTGTGCTCTTTATCGACAGACGGTGACACTTTTTTTTAAAGAATAATGACAGCGGCGGTGGAAAAAAGTTAAAATGCCATTCATTGTCCAATGAAATAAGCTTCCAAAGCACAGATAATAAAACCAAATATAACCTAACCTTTGAAAAGGGTGTAGTAAGTCTCCAACGCAATAAACATCGTGCGTTGTATATCTCATAATTTTGATCTACTGTAAGTGAACACAGATCCTTAATTCTCACACCACATCTATCTCCGGAAAAGTAACAGGAAAAGTCAATAGGTTGAATATACTTGAAAAACTAGAGAGGGTAAAGGACCGTGCACTTAGGTATGACATGTATTTATAGCAAAGACCCTTCATTAAGAAAGAATGCTCAATTTGATTGGTTTACAAAACACATTAAAGGGTCGTCTCACCCAAGATATGTTAATTACGATAGACAGATGTTTTCAAAAGAAGACACCCACCACTACAGATAATTCATTTCAAGCTAAGTAAAGAACACGCATCGTAATTAAAGGGGCACAAATATGCTTTGATACCTAAAGTAAGATGTACAAAACAAGGTCTCTTCGTTACTTCGCCGCTGTAAAGACTTGGAATTCGCTACCGGAGACGATACGCGCTATGGCCGGCACAAGAGAAATTTAAAACTGGATTCCAGACACGCAATTTACATGTAAATTATGAGGTAATCATATTACTTATTAGAGTTTTATATCTTTTATCGTGGAATAAACCCTTCCCCCCGGGGGGGCAATGAATTATCGGCCAAGTATCAGTGAAGTATCGGTGAAGTGTCGGTCAAGTATCGGTGAAGTGTCGGTCAAGTATCGGTGAAGTACCGGTCAAGTATTGGTCATGTATCGGTCAAGTATCGGTCATGTATCGGTCAAGTATCGGTCAAGTATCGGTCATGTATCGGTCAAGTATCGGTCATGTATCGGTCAAGTATCGGTCATGTATCGGTCAAGTATCGGTCAAGTATCGGTCAAGTATCGGTCATGTATCGGTCAAGTATCGGTCATGTATCGGTCAAGTATCGGTCATGTATCGGTCGAGTATCGATGGTTTAAGACTATATCGGTCGACTGTCGGCCGATACATCGGTCGACTATCGACCGATAGTCGGTCGACAGTCGACCGATAGTCGGTCGATTGTCGGCCGATAGTCGACCGATAGTCGACCGATAGTCGACCGATAGTCGACCGATATATCGGTCGACTGTCGCCCGATATGTCGACCGAGTCCACCTATAGTACACATGATCCAAACAGTCAACTAAAAGTTGGTGGAGAGAGCTCAAGCCAAAGAAATTGAAGTTAAGTTGTTCATTTTCCATGGCCCCAGCCTGCTTGATGACATTTGAGTTATGTGTAATTTACGTTTCCTTTTCATGAAATGACCTTTCAAATTTCAAAAGAGCTCTTTGTCAAGAGGCTTGCCAGGGGCTTTAATGTTGCATTGGTCAGCAGCATGACTACATTGACACATGCAATATTTCCCTTTGTCTAACCTCACAATAGATTTTCTCAGGAACTAATAAGAATATCGAAATTGCCTCACACACCTTGTTAGCCTGGAAGGCACACTATTTTGTTAACAGCAATCTTAAGTAAAAAATTGCCCTGCCTGGATTAGCACCTGCTATCTGCAAGTCAAAGGAGTATTTTGTATATTGAATATGAAAAACTAGATAAAGTGTGGCATGAGAAATTCAGAAACTTTTTAAATTTTTGATGATCTCCTTAATTCTTATGACTCATACATTAATTTGATTCAAGGGTGATACTGTAAGGAGAAATTAGAAGCCAATCACAGCCTGTAATCTGCTGAGTAATACTGTCCAGTTTGTTTTGAGGTCTGGGGTAATGTGGAGGCCGGGAATTCAGTAAAGCAAACACCATCAATGTTGTGTTTAAGTGCTTACATGTGCCTACCAAAACAAAAACTGTGAAAAGTTTTGCTGTTTCTGTAATCTTTACTTTATAAGCTTTACTGTGATGTATTTTTTCTGAGGTTTCTGTTGCAATCTAATCACATGTGTAATATAGCGCATGAAAGTTTTCTGTGTACCGTTTGACTTCATCTTTGATTAAACTAGCCATGATCTTTAATAGTAGTACGATTAGGATGATTTTTCTGGAAGGCACCTGATTTCATTGACAGTAACCCTATTATTTTGTAAATAAAAAAATTGCCCTGCTTGGATTAGCATCTGCTATCTACAAGTCAAAGGAATATCTTGTACTATATATTGAAATATGAGAAAATAGATAAAGTGTGATGTGAGAATCAGGAACTTTTTAAATTTTTGATGATCTCCTTTATTCTTGTGACTCATACATTTGATTCAAGAATGATACTGTAAGGAGAAATTAGAAGCCAATCACAGCTCTTAGAGGTTAAAGGGTTAAAATGGAAGATGCAGCAAACTTATTTTATTGATCTGTTGTGTGATATTTAACTCATTTTTTGAGGGCTGTAATATTCTGGTGTTGCAAAGTTATAACAAAGTAATGGTTTCAAGGTGTACTCTTTAAATGTTGCCGTCCATGTATTAATTATAAGCATTTCTTTACAGAAGACTTGATTTCATGGCTTCTGCCACCCCATCACATCCTTCTACCAAAGAGACCTCTAATTATGCTTGGCTCTGTTGCCTTCTTGTTGATGTTGGATCATGTGTGCTGAGGGAGATCTTTGACAGAATATGTCCACCAGGAAATCTTCACACAGTTCTGAATGATCCCAAAAATCATGCAAAATTGCAAACACTGCGAAAGAAGAGAGTCCTGAGTACCTCCCAGTGGCGAAAACTGTATCCTGCTTTCAAATCTTCAGTTTGCCCAAGGGACTTTGACACGTCCCTACTGGTATTTCTTCTGAGGAATATCTGGGGTCTGACTCTCCCTGCCTCTGGCCAGAATGACCTTTCTCTGGTAACAGACACCACTCCAGCAGCTGACATCACTCGCATCAAGATCCTCAGAGACAGGGTTTACAGCCATGTTTCCAGTGGTTCAGTTGATGATTCAACCTTCATTTCCTACTGGAATGACATCAAAGACACCTTTCAGCGTATTGGTGGGGTCCGCTATCAGGACATTATTAATGATCTTAAAATTGATTGTATGGATGCTGATACTCAAAAGGACTACCAGGAGCTTTTCAGAGAGTGGTTGAAGGATGAAGACTGCATCACAGACAAGTCACATGAAGATGAAATGATAAAAAAGGCCAGGTGGGAAAATGACCCTGAGGGTTCCATTGAGATATACGAACAAAGTTCAGGGAAGGAAGGTTTGTGTGCTTTACTTTTGTTGATTTTAAGGTTTAAACTTTCTATAATGTATCAACAATGTTAGATATAGTGGATCATGAAATAAAAGGAATTACTTCCAAAATTTTTGTTTGGAAAGTCATAATATTATGTACACTGTATATCAAAATGAAGTTTTGTGTATTTTTTTTCTTGATGATGTGAATGAATATTATTATATGAAAAATTCATGGCTGAGGTATAATTTTGTACTGAAGATGATAGATTTTAATCCTAATTATTTGAGTGAAGATGATGTTACTCAGTGAATGATACCACCAATGCAAACTCAGAGAAAAAAGGGGAGCACTCAGAGGTGTTTTTTTTCTTCAAGTATACCTGTCTAATTTTGTACTGTTTAATCAGTTAGTGTGGACTTAAAATGTTTTATGCAGGGTCAAGGATGCATTGACTTAATTGTTATTCATAACTTGTTTTCTTTTCTTTTTCTTCACTGCAGTCTTTTGATTTTCATTTGGATCAGCCACTAAGTTTTAATAAATGAATGGAAACAAAAAAAATATTAAAAACTACATTCTTCTTTTCCAGAAGCAGTCATGATACCAGGGGAAAATATGTCAGCACAGAATAGCAATGCAAGCCCACCAGAGCTCAATGTTACACTTCCATTGATGAGTGATCTTCCTGAAACCTCATTTGCTTGGAGCAATGTTGAACTTCCTGTTGATATTCTTTTATTAACAGCGGAGGACTGTGAGTTCTTAAGTTGCTTTGCTTACCTGAAGGAACCCTTTAAGAGTTACCACATCAGTTCTGGCTATGTGTACTTTGGGTGCATGGGTGATGATCAAGGAAAGAAAATGAAAATTGCATTGATGAGGTGCTCCAAAGGTCCTGATGTTCCTGGGGGTTCCTTGTCTGTTTCAAAAGATGCCATCTTGCTACTGAGACCCAAGGCTATTTTTTCTGTCGGTGCCTGCAGTGGTTTGAACAGCAAAAAGGTCAAGTTAGGAGATGTGGTTGTTTCAGCAAAGCTGATAACAGCTGCACACAAAACTCCCCCCAGCAGAGATATTGGTAACCTGATCAAACATGTAGCTGATGGGTGGAAGGCACCTTTACAAAATGCTGATGAATATGCTGCCAAAGTGCACTGTGATGGAGTGGTTCTGAGTATCTCAGAAGGAAAGAAAGATATAACTGGTCAACATCCTGAAGCAATTGCAGTTGAAATGGAAGGTGGAGGTGAGAATCATAATAATTCAAATAATTGATAAGCCAAGAATTTTTGCACATGTAGCAAAAGTGTTTTGAAAAACACTTCTCTGGCATTGTCTCTGCTGGTACAAGAAATAGCTTATACCATATAACATGCCCAGTTTGCAGGAATTATATATTGTGTATTTAAAGTGATTTGATGTTTGGCAGGTGAAGGTGACTAAGACTTCTTCTGGATAACTAAATTGAATGTGCTCCATCAGGATGTCATGAATTTTTTTAAAATTTGTGGCATGAAAATTGTAAAAAGTATTTTGTTAAATAGTTTGAGAGCTGAGGAATAGTATCACAGTCCCTGTTAACCCTGAAACTCCCATGGGTGACCAAGACAGAATTTCTCCTTACAGTATCAATAATTATGATAACAAGCAGACAAGTAATGGGAAAAGGAAAAAGTGTGAATTAGGGGATTATTGGTTGATCCAAAACTAAATTCTCCTAACTAACATTATAGGAATTTTTATGACATACATTAACCCTTTAAATCCTAGAAGTGATTAACATGTAACTTCTCCCTGTAATGTCCACACATTATCCAGCAAACAGTTGGTGAGAATACTGAAACTCATCAGTTACGAGTTATTACCTTGATCAAACATCAAATTCTTGTAACCAATTTACAAGGAAATGTGTAGCAGGTAGAAGGGAGAATTGACAATAAGATCTTGGGAGTTTAAGGGTTAAAGAGAATTACTAAATAGATCTTAAGTGTGAAAGGGTTAACTCTTACTGACAAAAGTTTGTCATTTGAGAAATGTTGAAAGTTACTTATGAAACAAGACAAAGCCTGAAGAATAATTTTACAGTCTCAGTGTAAATTTTTTTAAATTACTGGTTGAAAACAAGTAGGTTTCTGTTCCAACTTATGTCTTTCTGTAATGTGCATGTTTACAAGCAGCTAGAGTGTGAATCTTTGTGAGCTTTGATTGAACAATTGCATGTATTTTAAGGATGCAAAGAAAATAAGCTTATAATATATAGTTAACAGACATGAGTGTTTATTTGTTTTGTTTTTCAGGAGTGTATGCAGCAGCCCATGATTTTAAGACAGAATGGGTGGTAGTCAAAGGCATCAAAGACTTTGCAGATGAAACACAGTCTCCATGTAAGAAATGGAAACAAATTGCCTGTGTGATGGCAGCATCTGTTGTGGCCAACATTTTGAATGATCCAGTCATATTCCAAGATTGGCCTCACTTTAATGCAGGTATTTCTTCCTGTCTCAATGTTCTCTTTTTACAAGGATAGGTCTGACTTAGATCTACGCTCCCATAAATCAAGATGATTTATTTAGTGATTGTTCACAAATAGGAAATTAAATTACCCTTATTTTGAGTTTACATAGCGGTAGGTTTAACAAGGCGTCTTAACCCTTTAACTCCCAAGAACTTAACAATTCTCCTTACTGTCTGCCAAATGATTCTCATTATGTTAGTTTGGAGAACTTGGCATCAGATCAACTAGTAATCCCATAATTATAATTTTGTTTTATTCTCATCACTTGTCTGCATGATATTGTATAGATATAGTAAGGAGAAATTCTGTCTTGGTCACTCATGGGAGTGGTGGGAGAAAAAACTTGTAGTTTAATTGAGTGATGTAATTATGAATAACAATTCACTACATGATTCAGGTGAACTGGCCTGTATTCTATAGTTAGCTTGGTTTATGTAACATCACCAAAATACAGAGAATTCAGAGGCTAATGACATCTGCCAAAGTGATTTGAAGTGATTTAATATATGTTCTTGGGCCAATAAGTGAAAAATCAAATTGTTTTAAACTAAAAAAATTGATGTATCCAATACTGTATGTGCGATTGTATTTTGATGTTGAAACTATTGGAATGGATGGGGAAGTGATAAATGCCAGCACACATGTTTATGGTTTTTTTTTTTTTTAACCTTTTATGGAACCTGACATGTTATTAGTTTGAGATGAATAAATCAGATTTCAAGTAAATTTCTTAAGTAAATTGGTTTAAAGAGACAACATTACTTTTTTGTTTATTAATTCATTTAGGTGCCAATGAATTACCCTCTCAAGGTAAGTCCAACATGTTTTGATGAGTGTAATAATAGTGAACATGTGAATGATAATGATAAACAGTGAACTTATATGCCACTATTTTAACTCTCATAATCAGATACTGTAATCAAATGTTGATCCAGGATTTTTTTTTGAGAGAAGGGGGTCAATTTTTGTTTAGAAAACACAGGCTTTTTTTTTTTAATCTGAAACCACAATAGGCCAAGACTTCTGTCTAGAAAAGTAATTGTTAAATGCTTCATATTGGATAGTAATATGTGATCCTGTTGTTTCAAGAATTTGGGTGTCAGACAGGTGGATCTGATGGGGGTAGAACCAGGACCTCTTGGAGGGGGGGGGGGCCTTCCTCCCCAAACCACCACCGATTTTTAACTATTATAGGGTCCATGAGTTGGGGCTCTGATATCCAATACTGGAATTGTTTCTCTGTTAGACACTCGACTTTGAAATTTACATTCAAGACCAGGCTTCCAAGGTGTACAACTATTTGTGGTATTAATGTGCCTTTAGTTTGTTATACTTTTTTCATCAATAAGAGTTAGACCAATATAGCCTAAAATCTTTGTCTTAAGATCCTGTGTGTTAATTGAGCTGCCCTCAAAACAGTTAAACCCATTGGAGCAAGAGAGAAAGTACTTAAACTACTATCCTTGTGTTCATATTATTTATTAAGTTTGTTCCTTTTTTTAAATTTCAGCCGTAAGTGCCTATACTTCAGCTTTAAAGTCTTCAATTATTGGCCAAACGGAGTTCCAACCCAAACTGCTTGCCTCTCGCACGATTTCCAACGCGAAGACAGACGAAATATTCACTAATCTTCTCATACAACATGGAAGAAAAGCCCTGATCATGAGTAACAATGACGAGACATATTATTCAAGAAGTGAAGAGCTTGAGTACTACGGAAAAGTCAGCGGTACCCCAGTCAAGCACGCTAGTGAAATATTTCTTGGCGTGATTGATGATCAGGAGAGTGCTAATTCTATTCTTGTCGTTGGAAAAGCAGGGATTGGGAAATCCCTGTTTTGCCAAAAGGTGATTCGCGATTGGGCCAACAACGAATTATTTCAAGCACGAGAAAACACCGAAATCCCCAATTTAAAGTTTGTGTATTTGCTTACTTTCCGTCAATTGAATTTGCTTGAAAATAACTGTGTGACTTTAAGAGAAATCTTAAATTGTTGTTCGGCTCTGGACGACAAATGTAACATTGATGACTCTACATTTGAGTACATTTTAAAGCATCCCAAGGAAGTTATAATCATCCTCGACGGCTATGATGAGTATTCACAGCAAGACTACATCGCTGAAAACTTAGAAGAACAGCATCCCAATAATGCTAGACGTAAAATGCCGGTGACCGCATTATGTTCAAAACTCATCAAAGGAAAAATCTTGAAAGAGACTATCGTCATGGTTACCTCGCGACCTGATGAATCTGACAAAATGGGAGGAATCCGTTTTAAACGATACGTGGAAATTGCGGGGTTTTCGTCAGAACAAGTGAAAGAGTACATTGAGAAATACTTCAAGAACAACGAAAATATGAAGAACGCTGTACTTAAACATGTCACGAACAATGAGAACCTTGTCAGTTTTGCTCATATTCCTATGCTGTGTTATCTGTTGTGCTTCGAGATGGAGTATACCCTTGCTGAATCAGAAAATCCTGATGACCTTCCTGTCTCAATAACCAACATTTACACCAAACTTGTTGATATCTTTGAACTTAAGCACTGCGCCGAGTCAGAATACAGACAGAAAGAAATTCCTGAGCAATTCAAGCCCCCTTCTGTCATCAAGAACACATTAGAGAAATTATCAAAACTAGCGGCGAAACTGGTGGTTGAGAGAAAGCCAACTTTTGATGAAGGGGAGATGGAAGGCGAGTTTGAGCTGGAAGAAGTCAACAAACTGAAAGGTAGCGGTCTTCTTTACTGTGATCAGCCTTTCAGGACTGGACTGATTACAACCACGAAGCACTTTAGCTTCACGCATCTAACCGTCCAAGAATTCTTGGCTGCTCGTTGGTTTGTTAAGGAAAATTGTGTTCCAGACGAAGAAGGCTCTGAAATGGTTTTCCAATTCATGGCTGGCATGTTGTCAAGTGAAGGAAACGAGGAACTGATGGAAAAACTATTAGATTCACCCTTTATGCATCGTAATCTTAAAATGACGTGTCTGAATGAGTATCAAAACAAAGAATTTGCCAAAAAAATTCATCAGGAATAATCCGCAAGCGTTTTGTAATTCAGACGGCGTCGTGGCTTTTGAGGTTTTTTTTTCTGATGTGGGCTGCATTGGTGTATCATTTGTGTTGGACATTATCAGTGAACTAAATAAAGAGGAAGCTGGAGAGGCACAACACAAATGTTCTGATAAGTTCGTCAAAGTTAAGAAGGTAGGACTTAGCGGACCACAGCTAACACGGTCTGGAATACAACGAGTCTGTAATTCACTGAACAATAAACACTGTCTTGTGTCTAAACTGAACTTATTGGACATTTACTTGGCTGATGAATGTGTTGATGTTATTAATAGATTAGTAGTAAGGAAGTTAACCGCATTAAGTTTAGTGAGCACTTGGATCACTGATACTGGTGTTGCCAGTCTATGGGAAGCTTTACAGCATCCAAGCTGTAAGCTAACCACACTAAATCTGCAGAGTAGTTCTATCACTGATACTGGTGTTGCCAGTCTGTGTAAAGCTTTACAGCATCCAAGCTGTAAGCTAACCACACTAAATCTGCAGGGTCGTTCTATCAATGATACCGGTGTTGCCAGTCTATTTGAAGCTTTACAGCATCCAAGCTGTAAGCTAACCACACTAAATCTGCAGGGTAGTTATATTAATGATATCGGTGTTGCCATTCTATGTGAAGCTTTACGGCATCCAAGCTGTAAGCTAACCACACTAAATCTGCAGGGTAGTTATATTAATGATATCGGTGTTGCCAGTCTATGTGAAGCTTTACAGCATCCAAGCTGTAAGCTAACCAGACTAAATCTGCCTTCCTTTTCTTAGTCGCAATTCTTAAAGCTATAACTCAGAGACACCGACCAGCTTTAAACCTGTCTTTTGAGGGTCGTCTAAATCTTATATAGTTTCATCAATTTTCAGTAGATTTTTATATTTAAACAAAATAAATAGTTGCAAGTCAAATCTTAATTTTGTGTCAAAGAGACTTACCAGGTAGACGAATAATTTTTAATCACTAGAGTGAAAAACAACGCTTAATGTAAATAGAACCGCAAATATTTTGTAATAAAGGTTTTTTTACTGGCAACATTGTTTACTGTACTTGGTTTGTGGGTGTACCCCACTCGAGTGGTGACAAGTAAGACTTGGGGTCGGGGAGGTGTGGAGGGCAATCCTCCGAGAGGCTACTGGGCATCTAAGGAAGCTTTCGGACAAGAACATTTAGTTAAAGTTTCTCGAGGTAAGAAAAAGGAAAAATGTCTTCCCGTTCACCTGATTCTGATTTAATTTTTGGTGAAATTACACCCTTCTAAGTATTGCCAAAAAAATATGGTTTTCTTTGTTTTTTTTTTTTTTTTTCAATAAGCAAAAATTTTTCGTTTCAACTGTCCGCCATTACACTGTACCGATCATTGCAAAAATTTTTCATCCTCGTTTAAGTTGTTCAGCTTTGTAAAGTTAAGTTCCAGACGAATTACATGTAGAAAGCTGGATCGAGGGATAGATTAGGAGGTTAAATTTCCCACTCGAGAACCCAGCCTATGTAGCATGCACCACCGGTTTTAACCTTTTTGGAGTAAGTTGCCGTGGTGTATCCGAACTCAGATTAGTTCACAGATTGGACATTTAATCTCTGGTTTCACCAATTAATATCTCGAGTCAGCTCTGTTAGTGCCGCTCGACAAAGACGCAAAATGGTGATGGGAACAGATTAAACGGAAAAAATTGTTTTCTTTTTTTTATTGAGGTGGTATGTTTGGCGTTTTACAAAAACGGTGAACTTAATACTGAGTAAGTTTGCAATAACGTAAGAGAGCTTTTGATACTATTCCTTTACGAGACCTGCCTCCGTTAAAGGCTCCCTCTCCCCCTTCCCTGGCTTGCTCACATTCACACGAGCACCTACAAAGCAACAGACAGAGGAAGCCACTGTCCGTTTTTCGAAACCGGTTTTGCTATCTTTAACAGTTCTTCTAAGAACCTCATGGCCACTATTGGAGACAGAAAAGTCAGTGCTATACTCGCTAAAATAAGAGACAGCCAAACGCCGCTGATCTTGCCAATTAAATCTCCCCAGAAAAACAGTCAGCCTCCAAACGTTCCATTGTGAAGGCACGCACTAAACGAGCCAGTGCAGAATTAAACGACGACTTGCTTTCGTCAAAACTAGCTTCCAAAAAGTTCTAAGAGTTACATGATTAGATAATGTATACGAGTAACACCGCTCTTCTAACATGAGAGTTCGATCCCTTGGGGTGGGGGGTAGGGATTTGTGGTGTGTGAAAGGTGTTAAAAACGGCTATTATATGATACAGAACTTAGCAGCCTACTTCTTTATCATAAATTGTAGAATTACTTTATGACAAAAAGAACCTAGAGTAATTCTAAGTCGCACGGTTACTGATCAAAATTGAAATCTGAAATCTTCAACTCCGATGTATTGCTCCTCATTTGGTCCCAAAAATTTCCCTTTTGATCACCAGGACACATTATGTTACAGCTTCAGGTACTAAAGTTTTTGTGGATTCCTTTTTTACATCCTGGTATTCAATGTAGTAATTGTGGTTTTACTGTAGCTCGAACTGTCCTTGTTTTCTGTTCCACAAAACTATCCTAAACGGATGCACTATTTCAGTCCGAGCGAAATTCAAAATGAAAATAAGGCCGAAAACATTTTAAAAAAATGAATACTTAGATTTATTCAAAGCGCGCAAATTTTATTACCTAGTACGGCTGAAGGAAGTGGGGTATGGGAAAATAAGGACCAAGTAAGTAGCAATCAGAACGCTCCGATTTACCTCTGGACTATCTCGCCATATGATATTCCAGTACAGTGGTACCACTAAGCTTCACTAAGCTTGTTCGGCCAAAATGGCTGGAAGTTGGCCGAGTTCTTTTTTTGCGTTTTTACGGACTGGAACGAAGTCTTGATCTAGAAAAATGCAAAAAAAAAAATTAGTTTAATATCTAGCCATCTCGACCGAACAAGCTGGATATATAAAGGATTTGTTATATAGCAAAAAGGTTTCGCTTTCTTGAGAATCGAGAATGACTTGTTTAATTCAAGAGCCGGGAGAAAAGCCAACTGCGTTT